TATCATATTATATTATTCAATAGAAACAATTAACATTTTATGTAATTACATGTTTAAAGAGATATAAAGTGCAATCGCAGTATATAATCATATCTTTAGCCATTGAAGATTTAGGTAATACAGTACACCCACACCTCTTGGCACACCCTGGTCTTATACACACAAATCCCAACCAGATGCACCCACAGTCCACACATACACCAATTGTTCACATTTTATGTTATAAAATAATGCGTGTGCTTGTAGAACGTTTTAGTCAATGAACATTCAATGTGCTGTCAATATTTACACTAGAATGGACTTTTGAGCCTAGCAAATCCCAGTGAAAATGATTGACATTTCAATTATTTGTTGAGTGTACTCAAGCATGCATTACTCACCAGTTATATACTCATCTCGTCATCGCATGCATATTTGTTTCCATAATTCTATATTTATTTACTAGTGAAATTATATATTAAAGTGGCAAATCAGATTGTAAATTTGTAGTATTTTACCATAATAAGAATATTTATAAAGAGTCACGAGACATTATCTATATGAAGTGCAACCATTCAGATAAGTTTTTATCGCATTACATTTGATTAGTCATGTAGGTAAACTCAGACGACAAGTAGACAAGGTATTTTAACAGAAGCAAATTACTTCCCATACAGTAACAACCTATGTTACAACAACTCCGGTTACCTAAATGCGACCATAGTAATTTCTAAATTACGAACAGAACTTGAGATACTACAAGTGGCATGCGCAACTGCCATTAATAAAATTTATGTGATAAATATACAGCCAGCTGTCAAAACGTTGAGTGGGTCACTTCTGATATGAGTTAAGTACCACTAAAACTTTAGACAGTTTCGCTGCAATGCAATAAATAAGTCACCCTCCCCCAACATCCAGTACTAATTAAAATTTTTACTTGCCTTCATAACTAGAAAGGGCAGTTGTCGCCAACTACATGTATCCCCCGTGTTCTCCCCAAGATGTGTAAGTATACGAAATTTTGGTCACGCTAGGTCAATTAGGGGCCGAGTTATAGAGCGGAAGGGAAATATGATCAAGGTCAAGGTAAAAGTCAAATAAAGGTCGTAGTGACCTGGTTTTGGTAGCGCGAGGTCAATTAGAAGCCGAGTTAGAGAACAGAAGGGAAATATGATCAAGGT